GGTCATTGTCCTGTTGGAAGGTGAACCTTCTGCCCAGTCTGAGGTTCTGAATGCTCTGGACTGGGTTTTCATTAAGGCTATCTCAATATTTTGGTGCATTGAGCTTTTCTTCTACTCTGATGAGTCCCTCAGTCCCTGCCGCTGAAAAACAGCCCTACAGCATGAGGCTGTTACCAGCACACTTTACTTTTGGGATGGTACTCTGCAGGTGATGAGCGGAGCTGGTTTCCTTCAAACATGATGCTTGGAATTGAGGTTCATCAGACCAGATAATATCGTTTCTCACAGTCTGAGGGTCCTTTAGGTCCTTTTTTCAAATTCCAAGTGTGCTTTCATGTGTCTTCCCTGAGGAGAAGATTGAGTCTTGCCACACCGCCATAAAGCACAGATCGGTGGAGTGTTGCAGTGATGTTTGTCCTTCTGTAGATTTCTCCCATCTGCATATATGATCATGGAGCTCAACTAGAATGACCATCAGCTTCTTGTTCAACACTCTAAACAAAGACCTTCTCCATCAATTGCTCAGTTTGGCCAGGAGGCCAGCTCTAGGAAGAGTCCTGGTTGTTTCAAACTTCTTCCATTAAGGGTAACAGAGTCTACATGCTTCTGTGACCCTTCAGGGAAGCAGAATTTTTTTCTGAACTCTTCCACAGATGTGTGGCTTGACGCAAACCTGTTTCTGAGCTCTACAGGCAGTTCTTTTGACCTCAGGGCTTGGTTTTTACTCTGATATGCATTATCAGCTGTTAGACCTTTAATTAAGACGTGTGTGCCTTTCCAAATTATACCCATTCAATTAAATTTGCCACAGACTAACTTCACTTGAAGTGTAGAAATATCTACAAGCAATATGAATGCTCCTGAGCTAAATTTCAACTGTCCCAGATATGAATACTTATGCAATGGAATCATTTAAGTTTTTTTTATTTTTAATAAATTTACAAAGATGTTAAAAAACAGTTTTTTTTGCTTTACCATTATGGTGTATTTATATTTATATGGGAAAAAAGTAATTTAAAGCAGTTTAACATAAGGCAGCAACATAACAAAATGTGAAAAAATAAAGTAAACATTTTTTTTTTTTACCGGTCTGTCGAGTCATACCCACTGATGATCAGTGGTCCTACCATAGATATGTCAGCTTTGCGACAGCCATTAACTGTTCGAGGTGGCTATGGAAATTAGCGTGGTGCCATAAATAAATCCTATCTGTCGCACAATTCTTTTACAAACAGTATTTTTTCGTATCAAACTCGACATAAAATTTTCTATAAAAGGATTATGTCATGGGAAACATGTTGAAAGTTAGCATCAAGGCAGTAAATGTATTATGTGATTAACCTTTTTACATAAAAGCGGATAATTCAGTGCATTCAAACATCTCCGTCATACAGGTGTCCTGTTGACCGTTAAAAGATGGCGACGCTGTTGACGTACCTGGAGCAGGTGGACGCGGCACTTACCTTTTACTATGCCTAAGTTATGAACCAACATGAGCAAAAAAGCCACATTTTAAATCGTGTACTTTGAAGGAGTCATACACCAGCCGTAAAACATCCAGCAAGAAGTAGAGGTATCTCTAGGCAATAATATAGTCATATCCATCCGGCACCGCTGGAGGGCAGTAGTGACACACCTCAGTGAAATACATTTAACAAGCAATTTGTTCTCTCTTCTTGTACATCGTGTACTGCTTTAAAGCAGAAAGTCTGCCTGTAAAGCACAGACTACCTGCTCCACGTACACAAACCGGCGAGTTAAATCCTGGGAACTAAAACAAACAGCTCGGAGGTAAATTACAATGCACTTTTGATGTGCTAACAAAAGGAATTAATTCACATGCGTACCTGTGCAGTCTGCAGTAATCCTGCCTCCTTGCACTGCTCCAGACTCACTGAATTTTCGCCCTCAGTCTCATGCAGTCACTGTTGCTGCAGGCTCACTCTCAATCTTTCTGCGTCTCGGCAATGAAATACAAGCAGCTCTGAGCTTTCACAAATGAAAATAGTTTGTTTTAAATCTGAAATCGTTAGACACGTCTCAGTATGGATCTGGGTCGGTATACAGTATGTGCATGGTGTTCTATAATTCATTCAATTTTAAGGCGTGACTCACTGGTATTTGTGTGTGTGTGTGTGTGTGTGTGTAGTTTATTTGGTTCTCTACCTTAGCCTTAACAGGTTAATATACATAAAATATACAACATATGTTATCTGTCATAGCTGACATGTATATAAACACACCAGAAGGTACGTGACTAGAAATAGCAATGCAGTCTCATGCAGTCACTGTTGCTGCAGGCTCACTCTCAATCTTTCTGCGTCTCGGCAATGAAATACAAGCAGCTCTGAGCTTTCACAAATGAAAATAGTTTGTTTTAAATCTGAAATCGTTAGACACGTCTCAGTATGGATCTGGGTCGGTATACAGTATGTGCATGGTGTTCTATAATTCATTCAATTTTAAGGCGTGACTCACTGGTATTTGTGTGTGTGTGTGTGTGTGTGTGTGTGTGTGTGTAGTTTATTTGGTTCTCTACCTTAGCCTTAACAGGTTAATATACATAAAATATACAACATATGTTATCTGTCATAGCTGACATGTATATAAACACATCAGAAGGTACGTGACTAGAAATAGCAATGAAAGGTATATATATATATGGCATATCATAAGGTGCGGTGACATTGTAAACAGCTTGGTTGAATTCACAAGGACATAAATGCCTTTGTACTATACTCTTGCTCGTTGTCTTTTATTATTCTTAAAATGAAATTAATTGTAATGTTGCTTAGAACTATAAGTAAAAGCACCCAAGGAAAAATGTGGCGATGTGTCAAGAAAAGTTATGATTTTTTTTTTATGTCCAACATAGGTTTTTTATGTTTTTCTTCCTCAGTTTTTCCATAATTTTTATGATGGTTTTATTGAGCATTTTGTCCCTTTTTTCAGTCTATAGATAAGAGAAGCTTGGACGTTCTTCCAGTCTTCTCCTTTGGTTTTCCAAGAAAGTCATAAAGGTTTTGAACATCATGAGGATGAGTAAGTAGATTTTTGATGAAGAATTACAGTTATAGTTACAGAATTAATAAATGTAATATTTTAATTAAAAAAATAAAGAATTTGATAAATGGAATAATAAAAAATATATATTTTAAGGATGTATGTATGTTATTATTATTATATTATAGATATTTATAGTAATATAGATCTTTTTCCTGCTATACGATGGCTCTGTTAATGTTCGAGGTGACTTCCTCTAGTATCGCATCAAGATAAGTGCTGGTGTCTCATGTGATTTCAGGTATTGTGATAAAAGAAACAGGATCCAATATAATAAGCTTTCTATGGGGTATTTTGAGTTTGTGCTTTGATCATTTACCCCAGGCTTCTAGTGAATTAGAATATAGTATTGCAGAAGAAAGAAGTGTTTTGAGAAAAGATATGGCTGATGAAAATCACATTTAGACAACTGACCATGGATGCGAAAGAGATAAACATCAAGGTGAGTTTTAACTTCCTCCATGGAATGCTTTGTGGCTTTGCGTGGTTGTTTGTCACAGATGTGGCATCTTTTGTTTCAAGATGAAAGCCCTGTGTTTTGCTCTTTTGTTGGTCTCACGGAATAGATTCATTTTGTATGCTTTCAGTGTAATGTCTTTCAAGGTTTTCATTATTATAATTTAAAATAATATGCTGTCTGTCTTATTAGATTTCATATAGCTGAGTCATGTGCAGAACTGGAAGGGCGTAACGCTAATAATGTCAAGGTCATCGAGTTGGTTTCCCAAAGAAAACAAACGGAGAAATTTGAAGGCATACATTTAATGCACTTTTTCGGTCCCTTGGCACATGTTTATATGCAGCAGTAAATTAGAAGCAGACTATAAAACTTTTACCAGTTTTATTCAGAAGGAATTTGCTGGAAAAACACAAAAGAGCATTTGATTATGTAAAGGCAATTTATAGAGCACGCATTTGCTTGGATGAAAGAATTGATTGAAACAGTCCCAGACCTGCAATTATGGTGCTAGCAATGTCACTACTTAAATATAGCCGCGTGATATGTGTACAGTGTAGTCCTACACCGCACTAAATTCACATAACAGCTTTTAAAAAGGCTAATTTTCAAAGTTCTACAGGGACTTGCTTAAGCGTAAATACATTAAACACAATAGTTCATAATATAAACATGCAAATTACTGTGAATTTATTTGTTAACCTAGTTTCTTATAATGCCTCTCATCCACTATAAACATGACAAACAAAGGGCCAATGGAAACAGTCATGTCATGCAGAACGTCATGCGCAAACAAACAAAATCAAATGAAATCCATGTTAACTAAATCAAATTAAATTACAATGTCTCGCCTACACTATTGTTTTGAAAGGTCTGCATGGAAAATGTAGACTACAGTAACTGACCCTTTCCAAAGCACCTGTTTCTGTTCTACTTCCAGTATCAACATCAGGTCAAGGACAGATAAAAGGATTGAAAAGGATAAGTCTTACAGAAAGCAGCCATGTACATATATGGGTAGTTGACATGAAATACTTCTTCCATTGACATGAGACTCCATCTAGCACTGTTTTAAACAGTAATTGTATAATAACAGTTTTTGTAACCATATTAATTGAGAGGCTAATATTCCATGTGGTTTCAAATTAATATGGTCATAAAAATGGTGTGCATAATAATTACAAGCAAAATGCTGTTGAAAATAGTCTGAGGTGGAATATTTTTGTACTATTAAAAATTCATTTGAAGTACCACAAGTTAAAATAATGAAGACATAAGGTGAAATTGTGAAAAATAGCACCTAGAATATAGTTTCCCTTATGTATTTATAAACCGTTTAACTTAAAATCTTGATGTTGATGGTTATTCATCAACTACCCATATATAATATAAAAAAAATAATTATGACAGTGATGCGGTCACTGAGGATGAGCTAATGTTTTGCCTTATTTGAAAATATATTTTTTACACAAGGAATGGAAAAGGTTTTGAGCGTATATGTGACATTTCGTACAAATGAAGCTGGTCTACGCGTACCCCTGAGCAGCATAGCACCACTGGTTCCCACCGGCATCCTCAAATTCGTCCCAGCATTCTTGCTATCCACCAGTTGCAGGGCATGACAATCTGACAGATGACCCGTCCTCCCTGGTAATAGTAGGGATACGGCCAAAAGCCGCCCAGGGGCTCGTAGTATCGGCGACAGTAACGGTACCCCCGTCGACAGTACTGGCAGCAGTAGCCCTGCTCATCTAGGCTGTTGTCCAGCTCCATCCCCGCTTCTCTCTGCAAAGAGTGGGAGTCAACAGGGTCAGAACTGCAGCCAAACAATACCTGCAATCTCACCACAGGGCGCATGACTGATGGCTTGATTTTAGCAATAAAAAGGTGCAGTGCTCTGAAGGGGGAATGAAGAGTGATTATGGGTTGTAGACACGCAATGACAAAAAACCCTGTCATGCTCGGATATGTCACAAGGATCAGAGTGGCATTTAAAGTAGATGCTTTTGATATGCCAAGCCGGAGTATCAGATATGATATAATGCCCTTGACCTTTCCATTACGCCGCCGGTGGCATCGCTTGGCCTTAGCATCTCTGATTCAAGTCCCTTAACCCCGCTGCCTGTTTGACACTGGCAGCCACAGAGATAATTACACTATTTCTTTCATCCCAGCCCTCCCACTCCCATAAAAGCATAGCATTGGCGCCTGAGTCCGAGCAGCGACCACGGTCTCATTTCGGCTCAGAAATGAGAACCCTCCCCCATGCACTTTCATGCCCTCCTTTGACTTTGGCATGAAGCGAATGGCATGTTCATACAGCAATTAGCGGGGTAATGATCTCCCAACAAGGATCGGTTTATTTGCTCTCGCAGGCAGGGTGTGAATTGGTGTAAGGGCTAAATGATAGCGGAGTGAAAGGTAAATTGGGTAGAATTAATGGCCCTTGGCCCTCTCCATTGTGATCGTGTACGCATGCCCTCTCCAGATTACCCAGGGCTGAGTGCCATGCCTTTGATCAGCCGCTACAACGAGATGGGTTCCGAGAAGTGCCACTTAACTTTCTCCTGTAACTGTTGGAGCAGATAGCACCCTCGACTCGCACTGTTACATTTGACTGCATTTCGATCTCGCCAAGCTTACGACGCAGACAATGTGACGTTATCCGTCTGATTAAAAACACTGTCATGGACCTAGTCATCTCCGCTGATCTGCATTAGATTGGCAGATGAAGCCGTATCTCTTCAGGTCATCTGGCAACGTTTCAGACTTCCTGTTGGGAAATGATGCAAATGAACATGAGGGGAGAAAATCACTTTGAAATGTGTTGCCCAGATGAAAATGGCATCTAAAAACGGTCATTTGTGGTGTTTGTATAGTATAAACAGGTATTTTATTATCATTATTGATCTTTTTGGGTTTGAGATGAAGCGCAGTGAATTATAATGTGCCTGTGCATGTGCGTGCGAAGATGCATAATGACATGCATTTCTCCTCTGGAGTCCCATCTCTCATTATGTTCTCCATAAACGGCGCATGTATGAGTTTTCATGAGCTCACTATGCAATGATGAATGGAGTGAAAATTGCATTCTTCTAATGATTAGACTTGTGCAAGAGAAAGCAGGCCGATGCTTGTACTCTTTGATTTATTACTCTCACAAATGCACAAAGACAATTACTGATTCATAATGTTTGTCAGCTTTAGGGTCAAGAGTGTTGAGACAACAATTCATTTTGGAAACGGCACAAAGCCTGTCAGTGTAGCACTGTTTGCTTTATCAGACTTTCACAGAAAAGCCCCCTGCCAGCATGAAAGGTGGATGTTATTTGGGAAAATAAGAGATTTTTTGTTGAGTGAAATGATGTGTGATTAGGATAAAACAAACAGACTATGAATGGTATTGTTCCGCGGAGGTATATTAATCAAACTGATTATCCTGCCGCAGTGAGAAAGTGAGTGTTAATAACTTCATGTTTGAGACTTTATATGTCAGTGAGAAGAAGTGAAGTACTCTGGGACATGATGTTAGTCATGCATAAACTAGTAAGAGTAATTAAGAACAGGTGCCTATAGTTGACTGTAGCGTTTTGCATTAGCCTTACAAAGCCTGTCATGTTCTCTATTATGTTTAGTGTTACAGCCTGTAAAGCATGATGCAGTAGCATTTAATGTGAGGAAGTTCGAAAACTCCTAATTTATTATGGTGTGGCACATCATAGTTGATTCTGCTCAGTTGATACTTGACACCCTGTGGATTTACTTCATAAACCACGATTACTGAAGGGATAAATTATCTTAAACTTCACACTATCTTGATGCTAATCAAGACACTAGAGAGACACTGTTTCCCAAAAGAGTTTTATTGATTATAAAATACATTTTGAGTAAAATGCTTCATGCATCAATTTACAATTTTTTTTTCAGGACTGTCAAAGTTAACTTATTAACGTCTCAAACATAATTAAATATGTTTAACACGCTATTTGTTTATTTATTTATTTGAGCACACTTTATTTAGTTTGACATACATATACATGCTTTATTTTCTTCTGTTCTAAAATCTGATTGGAACATCTGGAGCAGATTGGAACTGATCGGAGTGCACACAAACACAAAGATGTCTCTTGTGGGGGACACGTTTATCAGTAAATGATGGAGAAAGACCCTTTTTACAGGTTACTTATGAATCAAATCTAGATATCCTGTTTACAACAAATGTATAGCATTTGCATTCATTGTATGGTGGAATTTAATTATCGTTGAAGCTGAACATTCATTGAAATGTTAATGCGAACACCTGCGGAGGAATGCTGGGAAGATTACGCTCAAGTGAAGAAAGTTGTTTTATTAAATTACTGCAGATTTGCATTTTCTGTGTGTTTTGATTGTTCAAAAGTTTGGGGTCAGTAAGATTTATTTATTTATTTATTTTTTTAGACAGTAATACTGTATTCAGGGAAGTTGACATTAAACAAACGTTTTCTTTTTCAAATAAATGCTGTTCTTTATATTATATAAATGCTGTACTTTATATTTGTCAAAGAATGTATCACTGTTGTCACAAAAATATTAAGCAGCACAACAGTTTTCAACATTGATAATAATTTAGAATATTGGAATAATTTCTGAAGGATCATGTGACACTGTATTCACAATTTTGATCAAATAAATTCAGCCTTGGCAAGCACGAGACTTACCGCCTCCAAACTTTCGAAAGGTAGTGTAGTTTTAGAATAATATAGGGTGTGGTTTTTTTATATATATGCATGTAGGTGCCCTATGCATGGATGCATATTTCTGCCATCCCCAAAAATTGCGGAACCTCATCATTACACATATGTCTGTTATTTATTTTATTTCCTTAAAAAGAAACTGTACTGTATGTATTATCATGTTCATTTGACAGTTTTTGTTTTAAATGGCAGATTTAACAAGAGACTTGAAACTAAGCATTTGTTTCATTTTGGTATCCTAAGTTTAACGTGAATTCATCTTCATCGGGTCCTTGACCGGACAGAGCATCTTAACTTCAGATGGACGCAGGGAGGCAGGCAATCATTGATATGCAAGCCAGAATGCTTTCAGCTAGGACGCGGGGTCACGATGCCTACCATCAACAACTGCGGCAGGCACACGCGTCTGAGATTTGATGGGACCCAATCATCAGAGGCTTATCCTTCCAATGTAGGTCAAGGACCATGATGCAATTTCTCAGCGCAGCCAGATGATAGTTATTCAGTTTGAAAGATATCCAGAGCTGTGCTGGCACACAACGCATCAGCGTGGCAGGACTGGAGAAAGGTCAGCCTCGTATATCTCAGGCCTTCTGTCACAGGAACTTTGATGATTATTTATAAAAAGTGCACAACAGGAAGAGACCTGTAGCAAAATATGAATTCCCTCCTCCAGCTGCAGACGTCTGCCGGTGGGAGAGCTAAAGAAGGGCTTGCATCTAGGATCCTCTGAAAGGACGGGGATATCTGGCTTCCCAGCAGCATCTACATGACTCCAGACTCCAATTACCGGGAGCCACATACCCTCTGACGTTCACACAAGTCTTTGTTATCGCTCTGCCCACAAACACAGCCCGCCTGTGCTTAGCCTTGGAATTGGCTGGATCGGTGTGTATTAACCAGCTGATAGAAAGAGAGGATTTCAAAAGGGAAAGGTGGTTTCATCTGAGTCTGCTTTAATTATACGCTACGTTGCGGCCCATGTTGCTGGATGAGGTGGGCAGGCAAGACGTTCCTGGGCCTCTGCAGATAAATGTGCTTTTATTCCTCCACTGTCTTCTCATCCTCGTGCTTGGAGGCTAGAAGTCGCATGCTAGTTGGGGAGGTGTATATCGTAGGTGTGCGAAGCATTAGTGCATGCAGCCTTAGGATAATTAATCATTGAACATATGCTTCACTTCATGGATGCAATGAAGGACACTCTTTGGCCGCTTGATTCTCCATGCCTTGATAATTAAAGCATGATTAATACATTTATCTATTCATTAATGAGTGACCTTGGGAGGCTGTCTTTGTACATCACTAACTACATAAGAGAGGCAAGGAAAAATTGTGCAAGGCAAACTTGCTTCCTTTGAAGGCTAAATATCCCTTACCATTAGCTGTAAGACATTAAGGGAGTCTTAAGTGAATTGGCCTGATTTAAGCAGATATATAGAGCAATTTCAATACCCTGCAGTCCACATGGTCTGTTTTAAGTTCGGAAAAGGAACTTCGATTAATGAACGATTTATACCAAGAAAGAGAGCATGACTATCCCGCATGATTCACCCGCCGCCTGAACACCTCTTTTAGTAATGAACCTGGGGCTCATACTTACATAGTCGTTCACTGGTAACTGGTCCATGACATCACGGGCCTGACGTGGACCTCTCGCCTCCAGCTCTGGGGTCTCCTCCACGTCCTCTACATCGTGGAATTCAGCATCTGCGTCACAGAAGGAAAGACGGTAATGCTTGCTACTAAAAAACTGATATCATGAAAGGCCTCTTTGATCTTCCTTAAGAACATAAAGCCCTCCAGTACTATAATGCCCTTATTTGGAAAAACAGAAGTTGGTTTGTGGCAAAAATGTTCTTCAAACATGGAGTATTGTGTCCTTGATTAGTTGATCAGTGATTGCTTAGGACATTTCTAGAGCTTTAACCATAAAATTCAGTGTATTTTTATTTTTGCCTTCCTATTGAAGAAAAGTACAAGCAAACAGTGGAGAGCAAAATAAATTACAGACTTGACTCTTAGGCTATTCTGAAACCTTATTACTAGGTTGAATTGGATTTTGAGGCGGTGAAGCCCTGTTTGTAACCTCTGAGAGGAGATGGGTGGATCCAGTGGATGGGCAGATCTTGGCAAATCTCCCAGATCTTGGAATTCAACAGGAATGTTTTGTTGGAGACTGGTTCTTCAGCTGGGATCCATATCTGAGAGTCCACCATCTGCATATCCACTTCACCTGTCTCACTCACCTGCAAAAAGAATGTACATTTTAATGCCTACACAAAAGCAGTTATACTGGGTCATAGATAGGGATGGATGATCTTCTGATCATACCATGTCTATCTGGATACTGTGAAGGACAGTATTGCCAATATTTCTAATACCAGTCAATCACAGCTCTTTAATATTATATATATTATTATATAATACTAATCATTGTTGCTGCCGTGTGTTTTGAGTTTGAGCTCCGTCAAGTTAGTTCTTTATCGTCTATTTTTTATCTTAAAATCAATTTTATACACCATAATTTTCATTTCTATAATGTGTGAATATATCCCCTATCGTATTCTACAACAAAAACAATCAGAGCGCCTTATCACTAGTTTTATTTTGATTTCCCGAGTCTGTTATTAGCATATAGCCCGTTAGCATCTCCAGCGTGGTTGCCGCTAATCTCGCTTACATTGCTAATACTCTATAATTACTCTTTAATGACGGATGTGTGTTCTCCTTTCAGTGCAGGTGAGGACACGTTTGAGCTGCATTCGGTGCAGCTCGAGCTGGAGGCCATAGAGAAGCAGATCCGCGACCTGGTGGAGAGGCAGGCCCAGCTGAGAGAGCGGAGAGCCGCGCTGGAAACTTCCCGGGCTGACGCTCACAAGTCCGAGGTAAGTATACAGCGTGCTGCTAACTCTCCCACCACATCTACTCCATGTTTCTCTGCACAGGCCCGGTGCACCCAGGACGCGATCTTCCCAGATGTCCTTCACTCCGTCACCGGGACACCACGGACCCTGGGTGCACCCACAGCGGAAGACGCGAGTCAGGCCCCGGGCGAAGACCTCTACCCCTCCGCCACCTCCAGTCTTCGAGATCTCCACCCGGAACAGCTTTGCTCCCCTCCGCGAGACGGAACGCAACACTGTGATTGTCGGAGACTCCATTGTCCGGCACGTCCGTGCTACGTTAGCTGAAGGTAAAGTGCACACCCACTGTTTCCCTGATGCTCATGTTCTCGATGTTTCTGCGCAGATACCCGCGATCCTGAAGGGCAACGAGAGCCCTGGAGGAGCAGTCGTGCTTCACGCCGGGGTTAACGACACCAAGCTGCGGCAGACGGAGACACTGAAAAGGGACTTCAGGAGCCTGATCGAGACGGTGCGCAGCACATTGCCCGTGACGATGATCATCGTGTCAGGACCGCTTCCCACGTATCAATGAGGACACGGAAGGTTCAGTAGACTTTTTGCTTTAAATTAATGGTTATTGTCATGGTGTAAAGAACAGAAACTGCTCTTTGTTAATAATTGGAATCTTTTCTGGGAGTGTCCTAGGCTTTTTCGCGCTGACGGCCTTCACCCCAGCAGAGTCGGAGCGGAACTCCTGTCGGACAACATCTGCAGGACGCTACGCTCCATATGACTAGTAAGTCAAATCTCAAATAACTGCCATAATGACTTTTGTTCTACCCGCTTAAATGATAGAAGTACTTGCTCTGTCCAATCTATAAAGACTGTGTCTGTTCCCCGAATAGTGAGGTCAAAATATAAATTTAATGCAGGATCTAGAAAAAATCTGATCGTGATTAAACCAGAAAAATGTAAAAATAAAAGAACACAGAACCCAAAGCAGTTATTGTAAATGAAATTATCACAGATAATAGTTTTGATGTACTCTGCTTGACTGAAAATTGGCTAAAACAAAATGATTATATTGGTCTAAATGAGTCTACTCCAACAAGCTACTGTGTTAAGCATGAGCCCCGTCAGGTCATGGCGGCGGTGTTGCAACAATATATACTGATATTCTCAATGTTACTCAGAAGACAGGATACAGGTTTAACTCATTTGAAATTCTTCTGCTTTATGTTACACTGTCAGATATGTAAAATAAATCTATTGTATCTCTTGCTCTGGCCACTGTGTATAGACCACCAGGGCCGTATACAGATTTCCTCTTAGACCTATTGGTTACTGTTGATAAAGCGCTAATTGTCTGAGATTTTTTACATTCACGTTGATAATACAAATGATGCATTAGGACTTGCATTTACTGACATAATAAACTGTTTTGGAGTCAAGCAAAACGTCACCGGGTCCACTCATCGTTTTAATCATACGCTAGATTTAATTATATCGCATGGAATTGATCTTACTGATATAGATATCGTACCTCAAAGTGATGATGTTACTGACCATTTCCTTGTATCGTGCATGCTGCGTATTACTGATATTAACTATATGGCTCCGCGTTATCGTCCGGGCAGAACTGTTGTTCCAGCCACCAAAGACAGATTCACAAATAACCTGCCTGATTTATCTCAACTGCTCTGTGTCCCCATAAATACACATGAACTAGACGAAATGACTAGCAACATGGGCACTATATTCTCTAATACATTAGAAGCTGTTGCCCCCATCAAATTGAAAAAGGTTAGAGAAAAACGTACTGCGCCATGGTACAACAGTAATACCCACTCTCTCAAGAAAAAAACTC